GGGGATGGAAGCCAGTGCAGGGATTGGCAGAGGGGGAAAGGGGATGGAAGCCAGTGCAGGGATTGGCAGAGGGGGACAGGGGATGGAAGCCAGTGCAGGGATTGGCAGAGGGGGACAGGGGATGGAAGCCAGTGCAGGGATTGGCAGAGGGGGACAGGGGATGGAAGCCAGTGCAGGGATTGGCAGAGGGGGACAGGGGATGGAAGCCAGTGCAGGGATTGGCAGAGGGGGACAGGGGATGGAAGCCAGTGCAGGGATTGGCAGAGGGGGACAGGGGATGGAAGCCAGTGCAGGGATTGGCACAGGGGGGTTGCAGACACTGAGTCGTTGGCCAGGTGGATGAGTCTAGCAGCTGCATTCATGTTAGACTGAAGGGTTGAGGAGCCTGTGTAGTGGAAGGCCAATGAGGAGGGAGTTGCAATAGTCAAGACGAGATACAACAAGTAAGTGTATGAGTAGTTTTGTGGTTTCATTGGTGAGGAAGGGGCGTATTTTGGAGATGTTACGAAGGTGAAGGCGGCAGGATTTGGATAGTGATTGGATGTGGGGAAGAAAGGTGATGTCCAAGTCAAGGATGACACCTAGGACCTTGGAATGGGAGGAGGGATGGATAGTTGTGTTATCAATCTCAAGGGAAAAGTTGGGGGAAGGCACAAGGGCGGGCGGAAATATGAGCTCAGTTTTTGAAAGGTTGAGTTTTAAGAAGTGTTGTGACATCCAGACGGATATGTCATTTAGTAGATTAGTGACACGCAAGGACACTGAGGGGGTGAGTTGTGGAGTAGAAAGATAGATTTAAGAGTCATCGGCATAGAGATGGGATTGGAAGCCATGGGAGGGTATTAACTGACCAAGGGAGGAGGGATAGATAGAGAAGAGAAGGGGTCCAAGGACAGAGCCTGGGGGGACCCCTACAGAAAGAGGGAGGGTAGGGGTTAGATTTTTAGGTGACACTAAAGGATCGCTTAGATAGGTAGGAGGAGAACCATGAGAGAGCAGAATCTTGTAGGCCAAGCGAGTGGAGTTTTTTGAGGAGGAGCAGGTGGTCAACAGTGAAATTAACCACTGAACTATCACGTTCTCAAACAATTCATCCCCACACAGCTACCTCCTCATGTATCACTTGCCCCTCTCTTAGTTTGTAAGCCCTCACGGGCAGGGCCCTCCTTACCATCTTGTCTTGAATTGTAGTTTGATTGTAATGTCTTCCTTATATTGTAAAGCGCTAGATTTATACCTAGTATATAAACAAATCATTTAGAAAATTAATTACGTAATTAATTACTTAATTGTTAATTTTATATTGTAAAACGCTCTGCAAACTGTTGGCGCTATAGAAATCCTGTATAATAATAATTACTGCCTTCCTGTTTCTCCACAGACAAATCTACTGATAATGGCTCACAGGGAGGGAATGACAACGGCAAAAAAAAGGATGACAAGAAGAAAGAACCGACATGGTGGCAACGTCTACAGAAGGTATTTAAATAACAGTGAACAATTTTGTTACGCTGAATTGTTATTATGATTCAGGATTTGTATGGCGCCAACAGTTTGCACCGCTGCTTGCAAAGTAAAGGGAGACAATGCAGTTACCTTACAATTCAATACAAGAGGATTCGCTGCTCATGAGAGCTTACAATCTAATAGAATAAAAATGTTGGATTGTATAGAAAATTCACTTTGCAAAGAATAACCAATCATTTGCAAGGAAAAAAAAGAAACCGTATTTTTGCTTGCACATGATGGGATGGAGGACATAAGCAGAGCTTCACCTGCGTTCCAGGTGTGCCCGATTGCACTAGGGGCGGCGGGCGTGGCTGCGGTACCATTGACTTCATTGCACCGCCACTCCCCTAAACCCAGGGAGGCGGCCGGCTAGCGTTCCAGGGGCCGAACGCTCTGGAACGCAGACTTTGTGGTGTGAACCGGCCCGTCCCAGTAACGATTTTAATGTGCTTGTTTTCTAAATAAAGGTGTTTTTTCGCTGGTGGATCTCATTAAGCTCGTCATTTGAAAAGTAGATCTCCAGACGAAAAATTGTGGGCACCCCTGGTGTACAAGTCGAGGGCCCACAGGGCAAAGCATGTGCCTTTCCATTGGCCACTGAAGTGTCTATGATGGCAGGATGCTGGGGGGACAGATCACAGCTTTAACGTGGTGCTGATGTTGATGCAGGGGTTGCAGGACTTTACACAAACAGCTTCTAAAGCAGCTGGAGATGTGTGCAGACACCTTGTCATGCTTTCTTTTATCATGGAATGTTGTTTACATAAAGTTTTGTTTCATGTTGGCTTTGCTCTGAATGCAGCTTTGTTTTTTAATTTTACTGATGTCTGTCCCTCATAGGGAGACTTTCCGTGGGACGATCCTGATTTCACCCGACTCGTCATGATGTTATCAGGTGTTTTCTCAACACTTGCAATGGTTTACTATTTCAGAGATCCTGGAAAAGAGATCAGCTGGAAGGAGTTTGTGCAGCAGTATTTGGAGAGAGGACTGGTAAGTGATGTAATGGAAATCACTCTTAAGCTGCCCATACTCCTATAGATTATCTGCAGATCTTCTATGGTCAGATGGAAAAAGTGTAACAGATTCCTCCATCTACGCTAAACTGTGTGGATGGAGGAATGTCCCGCTGGGCCAAGCTTCAGTATCTTGCTAGTCGGCCCCCGCTGGCTGTCAAAATATCAGAACCATCTGATTGGATGCAGGCATTGTTCAGGTGTTTTGAGAGCCAGCGGGGCTGACTAGCAAGGTACTGAAGCTTGGCCCAGTGGGAGATTCCTCCATCCACACAGTTTAGCGTAGATGGAGGAATCTGTTGCACTTGTTCCATTTGACCAAAGAAAACCTGCAGATAATCTATAGGTGTATGGCCAGCCTAAAACAGCTGTGGATGCGTCTGTGAAGGATTTAGTTTCTCCAAATCATGGTATAGATACTCGTAGTTAATCACATCTTGCTAGACTTGCTGTGTAATGTTGGAGATGTTTCAATACTCCACCAAGTGGTTCTTTAAGTTCAAGCGATTGTGGGGGAAAACACACATTTATAGGTGACTGAATTGTCTGTATGCTTATACCGGGGAATGTTCCCAACACTTATCTGTTTTAAGGATTCCATTGAGATTTGTGGTGAAATGTCTCAGAAATTAGGAATGAGGTCGTGGATGGCTAGAACAATTTAAAGAAGAACTCTGGGATTTATTCAAATTAACCCTTGCAGTGCACTATAAGGCCCTGTTCACATGATTTTCAGGTCCAGATCAGGTGCGGATCTGCAGACGCGGTGCTATGTGTTTTGGCCGCGTTTTTGATGTGTTTTTTACAAGGAAATGTATTTAGCTGCAGTGCGTTTTTGACGCGTTTTGAGTTTCCGGACCGTTTCCTGACCGTACAAAATGTGACATGCAGTATTTTTTCTGTCGTAACCTGAACGGACTGCGCACGTGAGAACTGTAGCCCATAAAACACATAAGGATGCATTTTTAGTGCAGGAGCGTACGGATCAGGTCAGCACAGAAAACGGACGTCGTGTGAACAGGCCCTTAGAGGTGAGGATGCCAAGGGACATACCGCAGTGGGAGTGGATGGAGAGAGGTGAGTGGCCATAGGACCAAGGATCGGGTGAGTATATCTTGTATGTTTTTGCTCCTAGACCAAAACAAGCACTTAACCCTTGCAGCCTGAGTTGAAAGCCTGTCCTCTGCCAGCATGCTGTAGAGAAGGACTTTTGTTCTCTGTGCGTGTGTGGAAGCAGTGGTCCGACAAGACCCCAGCAAGTCAGATCTATAGCTCTGCAATCTCCAAATGTATTTCCCCATGCTGAATGGAGAGGTCTAGCAGGCAGCCTCCCATCATGAAGCCGGTTTCCTAGCCAATCAGGAAGCCGGGCGGCGGGTCATGACGTGCTGCCCAGCTTCCTGATTGGCCAGGAAGCCAGGCTGCCTAGCAACAAGTGAAGCCGGCTTCCTAGCCAATCCAGAAGCTCGGCGGCACATCATGTCCCGCCGCCTGGCTTCCTGATTGTCCGGGAAGCCAGCTCCATGCTCCCTCGCAACACTGCCGGTCAGAGGGAGATTTCCCTCCGATTTGTAAGTTCCTGTGTCAGGGTAAGTATCGGAGCATTTGGGCGAGTACGAGTATACAAAACTAATCATGATAGTAAGGAACATGAGACAACCTTGGGGGGGTTTTGCAAAGTAAACAAGCAAAGACACAAAAACCGAGATAAAAGATACAATTTGCAAAAACTAACATTTTAGAAACATCTCAAACTGGTTTCTGTAGAATATACTGGAAAACACAATTTCACTTGCTCGGACATGTATAAAAAAATATATACAACTATGTATAACCCTGAACAGACAAATACAATGAATCACCCTTTCACCGATACTAGTATTGGTATCAGTGCATCCCCTATATATACGTTGCCTATACAGCAGGGCTCAAAATTTCCACTCGCCCCCTGCGAGTAACTCTTAAGGCCTGGCTAGTAGCTCAGGACTTGAAATTTTGAGCCCTGCTATACAGTATAAGATGTTTTACATGTTAAAGGATTTGTATTCTATCCGGAGATTTACACAGCTCTGCCAAAGCTCTAGCTGGGGAGGAGACCTGATTTTACTCTGCTGCAGTTATGTAACACTTGCTGGTCTTGTCCCTCCCCCAGCCTATGATGGGACAGTGAAAGGTGAAGCAGCAGACTGATGCGCTCATCTCTCTCTCTGCTCCCTCGTCCTATTAGCGTGTTTCTGGTTAGCATATGAGCACAGCTGATTAGCTCCTTGCGCTGCTTCTCCCTTTCCTAGCCTGAGTTCTGCTGCACAGAGGATTGAAAAAGGCTAATGCTAGGCCAGATTCAGGTACTTGCACTGCTTGCATTTTAAAAATTGCATTTAAAAATATGTTAATGACTATAGATCTGCAGTCAGGTGTGTCTTTTTTGTATTTGCTTGAAGTTCAGCTTTAATCACACTGCAATTTTTAGCAGTGATAGCAGATGACTCTCCTGTATTCTCTTTCCTTGTTTGCTGCAGGTGAACCAGCTGGTGATTGTGAACAAGCAGTATGTGAGAGTGATGACTACAACCAAAGAAGTAAGTCCTCAGGGCCCCTACATTGACTTGCTTTACATACGGACAGTGTGCAGCTGTTGATTTAAATGCCATAAAATAGATGTGTGGTGGGTGGAGGGGGACGTGATTTCTGCTGTGATTGGCTAACTCTGGGTCTCCGAGTCGAATACATATATCTAAAATATTCATGTACAGTATGTCAGTACATCGGTTATAGGTAATCTGTTTCCTGCAGAAACCGGTGTGGTTTTACATTGGTAGCGTGGATATCTTTGAGCACAATCTAGAGACAGCACAGCAAGCAATGAGTATTGATCCAGCAGACCGTGTCACAGTGGTATACAGCAACGAAAGCGATGGGTGAGTGGCACAAATATCACTTTGTAAGTACAGCACACTACCGTTTAAGTATTTTAAGTAGGGATGCACCAAAATATCGTCCGAAAATGATACTTTGAGCAAAATGCTGAAAGTGCAATTTTTTTGCCGAAAATGTGCATCCCTGGTTTCTCTCCTCCTCGCTGGGCGCTGCTCTGTGTCCCCTCTAAGACAGAGCAGGGGGAGGAGAGAAAGTGTCAGAAGGCCAAGCGGGGTGGGCAGGAGATCGCTGTCCGCACTATCACTGGAGGCCGAGCTCTCCTCCCCTGTGCCACCCTGCTCTGCTTCCTGTGACAGGCAGATCAGAATCGAGACCAGTGCAGGGAGGAGACGGCTGTCAGCTTTCACAGGAGACCCAGCCAGCGGTGCTCTCATCCCCGCATCGCCTCCGCTCAACCTCCTGTGATAGCCGAAGGAGTCAGAATGGAGAGCGGGTTACAAGTGCTCAGTAAATAATTGAGGACATAGTATGTTTACTGTGTCCCCAATTATGAATAAACAGGAAGCGCGCTACATCACTTCTGTTCATTCATGTTTGTGGACATAGTAACTGATACTATCTCCACAATGTATGAATGGTCAGGAGCACTCAGTATAGAGGCTTCCAGGTCATTCATAACAGGGGCTGCAGAAAAAAGACTTTTCGGTTTCGGTCTGAAAATTCCATTTCGGTGCATCTCTACTTTTTAAACTCGTTGATATACGTAACATTACTATAGGAAGTTATAGAAAAGTTTATTAAGATAGGATAGAGTATATGGAGCAACTGTGTCTTTTACAGAGTATCGAATCCCCCAAACAAAACTGTAATATATTGCAGCTCATCAGCCTTTAGATGTGGCGGCTGTCTTCCTTTTTTCTTTTTCTACCAGGTTTTTTTTTTTTTTCTTTTTTTTATCTGGTAATCCTGCAGATAACTCACTTCCTGTCCTATGGTGATAAGCTCACTCAGCCCACTGTATCTATGGAAGGATCCATGATAGTCTAGGTTGCTCTCCTGATCTAGACTACTACAAACCCCTCCTCTTTCATCTCCACAACAAAGTCAAGTGGGTTTTTCTTTGTAGTTTACAGAAGGTAGCTGATAAGATGGTTTGTTATATCAGTTCAGCCTGCACAGCCATCGCCTTCTCCCCCATCTATCCAAACCTAATGCTTTATATTTCTCTTGATGCCTCCATTTAACTGAGGCCAGGTTGTGAGATAAAACAGCTGCCCTCCTCCAGGGCATCATACACTGGTGTTTCTGTGGCACTCTCCCTACACACACAAACCTCTCTGGGGAGGACGGCTATCTGTTTTATCTCATGTCTGGCCTCAGTAAAAGGATTGTTTAAAAGGCGACCTCTGGAGCTGTGACCAAAGGGATTGCTTTTAATTTACAGTGAATGAAGGCATCAAGAGAAATATAAAGCATTTGCTTTGGATGTATGGTATTTGAGGGATATTTGCAGCAATTTTGCTTGTTCTATGGAGCTGAGAAGGGAGCAGAGGAGAGATAAAGAAGCACAGGGCTACAGAATGATCAGGGGGTGGGCACTGAGTGCTATAACTCCCCCATAGGAATGTCCATCATTTAGGCTTCAGCAAAGGTGGTGGAGCTACAGCCAGCACTGACAGAAATCAAAATGTCATTTTATTTGCAAACCCCTGCACAGATTTAAATGGGACCAAGATTAATGCACACTGGATCCCCTGAAGAAGAAGAGTTATTTGTTGCAGCTTGGTTTGAGTAAAGTGGTTACTAAGTGGTGGAGTGATGGAGTTCATTCTTAAATAGTCCCTGACTCCAGACCATATATTTCAAGAACAATCTTCGCAAAAGATTAAATGTGCAACATGTTATTTGCTTGCAAAAACATTCCGTGTGTAGACATCCAAAAGCACTGAGACTGCTACTGGGTGCTGCCATCTTGGATGTCATGCAAGCTTACTGTCATTCAAGTGATGCACTATAGTATTCTTCCTTGCTCTTTCCCCAGCAGCTACATACAAGATTATGTAGGGAGGTGAGGGGACAGTAATTAGCTACACTTTTACAAGTAGAGAAAGCTAGGACTTGCAAGAAAGGGGGCAGGGGGCTGTGCTAGGTAAGCCACTCTTCCTGAAGTGGTCACATTTGCTGGCGAGTTCAGCGTGGTACATTGCAAGTGGATAAAAGAAAAGACAAAAAGGTGATGATGTCAAGTATTTAAATACTTTTCGATTTGTATGTGCTTTTCACTTCAATTTTTAAGGGGTTAATAGCTGTGGAGTTTTACCTCTCCATGGAGCTGCGGGCTCTCAGCGGCACTGAGGGTGTAGTTTGGGGCGGGTGTTATCTAAGCGTATTATCACTAGCATGCATCTCACACCTTTGACTGCCTCCAGGCAATGTGTGTTCATGTTCAAGGCATGTGGAATACAGGGAGGGTGTAGCAGGCTAATGACGAGCTGTAATATGTCTACATTAGGGGAGAGGTGTCTTTTTGGAAGAAAAAAAAATAAACCATTTTACTCAAGATTGCAGACTTTCCATCTACCTTACCTTACCTAAGAATATTTTTAATCCTTACTGTAAGAGATTATGGTCGAGAGAAGAATGCAGATTTGAATACGTTGATGTCGATTAACATGTGTTTTCCTTATGGTAATTTGCAGGTCCTATTTCCTGAGCCTCATCCCTACGTTGCTCATTGGGGGCTACCTGTTGTACAGCATGCGGAGAGGGTTAGGGATTATGGGGCAAGCCCGAGGAGGGAAAAGAGGTGGAATTTTTGGTGTTGGAGAGACGACAGCGAAGATGCTGAAAGGAGAGATCAATGTCAAGTTCCAGGATGTGGCTGGATGCGAAGAGGCAAAACTTGAGATAATGGAGTTTGTGAATTTCCTCAAGAATCCCAAACAGTATTATGAGCTTGGAGCTAAAATCCCAAGGGTAAGGCCTACATGATGAGGACAAAGGGTGGGCTTTTTCATTCGAATACCATTACACATATAAAATCCAAACTTTTGCTAAATACACAGTTAAAATACATACATGGAAAACTGTTTTACCAGCCTAAGGATTTGTATTTATGTCCATCTATTCCTGAAATGTACACAGATCTGCCACACAGCTCAGCCCTGACAGGGTGCAGTTAAGTAACACAGGTCTGATTCCCCACCCCAGCTTGTGACTGGAGAGTGAAAGGAGTAGCAACGGACTGATGAGCTCATACCTAACTCAGCTCTTTTCTACCATCTGTATGTTTGTTGTTGGCACATTTATTTATATTACTACAGGCATTTACATAGTGCTGACCATTTTACGTAGTTTTTTACATAGCGCACATTCACATCAGTCCCTGCCCTCAAGGAGCTTACAATCCAAGGTCCATTTCTCACATGCACACATATGCATACTAGGGCCAATTTAGACAGCAGCCAAACAACCTGCTTCACTCATCTCAACAGTCAAGCCTTTCATGAAGGCAGTGCAAACAGCAATGGTGTAGTACACGCTCCTAGTAACAACATCCAATCAGATTTCAGTTTATTGTGGTCAAATTACTGATCGATTGATGGATGATTGTTTGCTATGGGTCACTGTTTACTTGGGCATCACCATTTGATTGTGTTTACTTATGTACTTTTTCTAGAAACGGATGCCTATTTCATATTCGGTTACAAAACACCTGACTTTGTCTTGCTGCCTCCTTAGGGAGCAATGCTCACTGGACCTCCTGGTACTGGCAAAACCCTCCTCGCCAAGGCAACAGCAGGGGAGGCTAATGTTCCATTTATCACTGTCAATGGATCTGAGTTCCTAGAGATGTTTGTTGGTGTTGGTCCAGCCAGGGTAAGTTTAGACTGAAAGTCTGTGTGTATAATATATATATTATATATATT